AGGTACACGCATTCAATCTGGTTCCTATTCCTTCGCAACCTTTAACAAGTTTGCGATGTTTTTCTGAAGATAAACTTAAACCCTGTAACAGAAGCAATCTATTTGAATATCAAGTTACATTCAGTGAATATAGATGGAGTTAAAATGCATATTTATCTTGAACATGATCTAAGGTGACATTTTAATTGGACGCAACGTGACAAAACTACTAGATTTACCTTATTCAGGCATATGTAATCATTTTGACATTTGAGAGGGTGGCTGATTCAGAAATTCTCACAATATGAAAATAAATAAAATATGGAATTCAATGTAGATTTTAACCACGGAGGTTTAAATATGAATGATAAATAGTAATTAATACAAATTAAATAAACAATAATTTATAATAATAAATCGTGTTTAGAATGCATAGGACTTCAACTATGGATAGGCAAATAGTGGGAGAGACCTTTCAAGATTTTCGATGAACCATCATTTATTTAAAAAATTATGACTAAAATGAAAGTGTAACTATGTATCTAAATGATTTGCTAAGTCAGCGAAACATTAAGAGAAGAGAAAAGATAATAAAATGAAACTAGTAAACGGCACGAATAAATGTGTGTAAAAAAAGTATCAATCAGGAGAATGGACTTGCTATACCAGTATATTATATTTTATAATATAAATATTAACACATATATGAAAATAAACTTTATATTTAGTCATCAATTAACTGCCTTTATTTTATTTACGTAGTGGAGTTTGATTAAGAAATAAATCACCAAATTTCTTATCTCACTTGTAATCGGAAAGGTCCAGATGAAAGTCCGATAACAATTGCTGCCAGATAACTACTGACTCTGTTATGTCAAAGCAATACCTTATGGGTCTTACCAACACTACTGGCAGAATAAACTGTACAAATCTTTCCACAGATGAAGGCCATATTTGAAGCAACCGACCAACTTACCTACACTGTTCCACATTCAAAGATATTTTTATTTTACCAAAATATACCTATTTATTTAAAAAAAAACCTTATATATTGCAAGGAAAATAATATATAATTTTTTTTTGAAACAGATTACAATATATCAGTAACCCGAAACAGATATTCGACACGTTATTGTCGACGCAATGCCTTTGTTAGTCATACCCTAACTATTTGAAAATTTACTTGTATGAATACAATGAAATTATTAATTATTATTAGACTAAATATCATTTAAACATATAACAATATCTTTTCTACACCCCCACACTAATACGTATTTTCATCGGTTAGGAAGACTCGTTTACCGTCCTTGAAACAGAGAAAAACATATTGAGGATTATATTTTAAAGATTGTTATATTTCCTTCTGGATTTCTATTAATTTTAGTCATGAAATCGCAGTAATAATCCCCAGAACTAAGCAAAATATCGATATTACGCAGTTCCAAGTTCCAAGTTCAGGATCTGATTTGGTGGCAAGACTGAGTCTTTTACTTCATTAATTTTTTTTTTGTTTCGCCGGCATCAAGTTACAAAATAGGTATTCGGTAAAAAATTAAACCATAAACCGGTTTTATGCTGAAAATTTTCTCTTCCTACCGGCGGCGTCTCTTGTTCGAATTGCTTGTAATTAAAAATATAATGTGTTCCTTTGCACAACCCTTGCAACGTCTTGCTTTTTGATTACTATCCTGAAGAGGGGCGTTAAAAGAGTTTGGTCATGGATAGGGTATTGCGAAGTAAGAAATATGAGATATTATATATTTTTGTTTTCAAGATTAAATCATTTTGGAACTTTTAAATCTTGCTGCCAAAAAACCAGTTGCATTCATATAAGTAATTCATCTGTCATCTGATTTTGTAACTTTTCCTATTGCTTGCGAGATTCCGTATACAAGTTCCAAACCATATGTTTCATGACAAAAATTTCTTATGGATTTACGTCCACGTCCAAATAAGAATAAATAGTATCCAACAATAATATAACATTGGTTTGAGTTTCATTAAAGCATAGCACATACATATACATATATTATTAAAATATTGAAAATCAAACAAGTAGTATAATCATAACCAACGATTATGACTCCAAAACCAAATTGTCTTAAATAGTTAAGTTAGATTTTTTAAGTTAAAAGATTAAAATATATTTAAAAAAATACAATTTTAATTTTATTTTTTCATTTAAATAAGCAATGATAACAAATACAAAAAGTAAATTGAACATTTAAATCTACAATTTAATTATAAAAAAAAAAATGTTGCAGTTATAAATAAATATATTTAAACTTACTTGTAATATAATTCTTATCTTCTACATATAGATAATTTTCTCCCAGGTTTCGGCACCCAATTATTGGAAACATACTCAAGGAACACAATACTACACACTTATGATAGTCATTTATTCTCTTAGATGATGTTGAACGCTTCCAAGTATTTGAATTCCAACTTACACTTGTAATAGCGTGATTTTGCTAACGTACAGATTCACCTATTCTAAGTTGTCAAAAGCAAAAATAAAATAAACTGAACATATTATTTAAAGTGACAATTTTATATAAAACCGTTAATTGTCGCTAGAATAATCCGACAATTAATGAAACGATATGGATCGATTTTTATAAAAACAAAGTAAAATGAGGCCGTCATGGATATGGTAATTTGAAATTAAAATTATTTTGAATACAATAAACTAATGAATATCATGGAACGTAAATACATTATGGTAACCCTTTTTACGAAGTAATTCAATACGCTTTATTGCCAAAATAGGGAAGGGCTGGTTATGATATTGTTAAAGCGAGAAGCGTCGAAGCCACTGACACTAAAAATACGTGACTGTTTTATACGATCCTATCTCACGAAAGAAAATCGCCGCCTCGCAATATAAAGAGATTTAAATAAGCTTAGTTCAACGGATCATGTGTTCCCTATTGAGACGGGAAAGCATCTCTTTCTATATTGAAAATTTGTTTTGATTGTGAGGGTGTATAAATTATAATAATGTGTGATGGATTGATTAAGCATATCAAAATTGAAAACATAATGATTTACCTATGTACGCTTCACTTTTAAATAAATAATTACATACATATTACATATAGAAAATGATTAATTAAAAATATATGTATGTAGAGAATGTAACTTTCCATTTTATTTTACTATTTCAAGAGTCGTCATACTATTTCCGAAGATTCGTAAAAACAGAATGTCATGCACTTTGTGGTTTATCGACGGAGACAGGTGTTCCTTCCATTGTCAAATATACTCAACGATCGACTCTTATCGTCCCGTTTTACTTTACCTGATTTATTTTAGACCTGTATGAGAAATAGCTGTCTGTAGAATCTGAACATATTTTTATTCTCTACTTATCTGATGTATTTCTAAACCTATAACGTAATGAGTCATTTACTCTTACAATTAATAGGTGTAATTATTCTGTTCTGCTTTAATCAATTATGTTCTTAAAACTATATTCATAAATAGTCATATAATACCTAATCGAAATGATAAGCGTTCTTTCTTTCAAAATAATACATTTGTTTAATATTAAGAACTAAAACTCGGCAATCTCCTGTACATGAGTACGACATTACTTTTTGTTGAAAATTTCAAATGCATGTAATTAAGTCACTCTTAACGCGAAAATATAATGATAGTTAAATAATATTACAGTTTTGTCATTAACATCATAAATACTGCAAAAAATATACTTTATGTAAAAAAATATGTAATCGTTAAAAAAACGTTATTGTATAATAATGTTTATCCCAATAAGAAGTTTAAAAACTTTTATATTTCAGTTGTTACTAGTGAAATAATTGAACTGTATTTATTATAATACAAGAATTCAAAATAACAAATTTTGCGAAACGGTTTAAATCTTTCTTATATTAATATTTGGCTTCATAAAATTCATCATGTCAAAAGTGATCACCAAACAGTGGTTTCAGTTAATAAAAGGTGCGAGGAAAATATTCAGACAAGCAATATCCAACCAAACCCCTGACGTTCCGAATTCAGGTATAAAAGGTCTTATTGCTTCTCTGGTGACGTCGATAGTATAGATGACACACGTTATTGTAATATTTTTTTTCATTGAACTGCGTTTTCATTTCTGCTTATGATATATGTTTAATTTTTGGGAAATAGCTGATATAAAAATCTGTTGTAATATATACAATTTAATTCCAAGAATATTTTGGTATTATTATGGATTCAATTCTATTTTTAATGTACGAAAATACACATAATATGTATAGCTTTATTTTTTTTAATCCACATGACTAGCGAAGTCTATACAATGTGGAAGAACAATTTTTAACAAAACTAATATTTTTAAAGAAAATGCAACGCAATCATTGAAATATTCTTATAATTTCGTTTCTACGTAAGAACTTACAACATCATTTTACTTCAATTAAGTTGAAATTGAGTCTAAAGTTAATAAAGAGTAATTTTCTCATTCAAAGTTAAAGTTTAAGAGGGGCGTGAGTCGCGCCGGCCGCAGTGCAGCTTACAATTACTGGTCGTTAATTATTGAGGTCCTTTTATATGGTTTTAATAGTATTAAATTAAATTGAATTTATTGTAGAATTTTGAACTTAATTCTCCAAAAACTTATTATTTTATGAACCTCTCTGTAGCATCTTTAATTAGCCAACTATAATATGAAGTTATTTTATCCAGATTTGTAGAGTTAGGACTAAGAAGTTTAATAAGGTAAATTTTCTATAGATTTTCATTTATAAGGTTTGGAAAATATTAATTAATAAATTTTATACATCTGTACATACATGTTCAATTGTATTACCAGTTTCCAAGAAATTAAACAAATGATGAAATAAATTTTAACAATAGACAATGATATTTTTTTTCAGTAATAAAAACTGTATTTACTACATTTAAGAGTACTGTTTACTAGTAATAATAATGAAGTATTATCAACAAAATCGACTTGTTAAGTATTAATAATCCACATGACTGAGTTTTGATACTGCTGTCTAGAAGCATGGTTAGTTTATAAAATATTTCTGCCACTGACATAGTAAATCCTCGCTTGCTGACGTGCTGATGGCGGCGCTGTCAGAGTCGTTTTTGAAGAAATATTGCCACATGACGGCTTTGCCCACAGACGAGCACTCATGGTGAAATGCCAGGAAATCTACGACCATTAGGGCTGTCTACGATTTATTGTTCAGGTATACCGAAAAAAGTAATTTCTAACTATTTAAGACCAGGAGCTATATTATGTTTTGTGATATAGATATTATAAAAATTAAGAGGATTTAAACTGCACGGTATAATGGTTTCTTAAATTCATTCATATTTATAAATACTTATAAATATATATTTTATTTGAGAAGTTATGATGGAACGTATAAGGAAATATTATGAAATACCACCACCACCACTTATCAAGTTTTAAGCAAAGTGGTGAGGTTTTAACGCGGGAGAGAGCAAAATCGTTGAAATAATACGTGACCGGAGTGCAAAATAGATGTAAAATAAAAGTGTAAAGTTGGCCTTAGCTTAAGAATGGTCAAAGAAAATATATAACACAGGGTGTATGTATGCAAATCTAACTCAAAACAATTACTCGTTTAAGTTATAAAAATGTTATGTACTGCTAAAAATATTGAATTACGAAATTAAAATTAATATTTTAAAGTGGAATTGGAAGTATTTATAGTTTCAATAATAATCTCGTATATGTATATATTAGGCGTATTAGTAAGTTTATTCATCAGAAAGCCAAAGATAAAAAAAATAAAGATTTAAGTTGTATTTCCCAAGTAAATTTCAAAATAATAACAACAACAGGGTAATTATGTAATTATAATTGTTAAAACAAAATAAGGATCTATAACCGTTTGCGGTCTAGAGATAATATTTACATAAAAATGTATATTCTTTTTCATGATAAACACATATCATATAACTTCTCGGTAGAAATCAAAGAAAAAATTTCAATTCCGTCCATCTGTATCTGTATCTACTGTTTATTTAAGTGCAATATACTATTGAATTCAAATATAAAAACTAATTATCATCATGTTTTTCCAAGATCTCACCCATAAAAATATAGTTTTGTTAGCATTTCCATCATTAAAATCTACAGGATCTTTCATTGCCCATCAGATTTTAGAGTTTTGTTATTCGATCTTGTAGTGAAAAGGGCAGATAGCTTTGGGAAATTTTGATAATATTTGAGTTTAAAATACATACATTTAAGGAATAATAATTTTTTTAAAACTATTTTAAAAATAGTAAATGAAAGAAGTTTGCTTCTAAGATTCGATTATTTCTTAAAAAGAAAAGTAAGGGTAAAACGTTGACGCATTAATTCAAGTGCAACACGAAAAATGCATTAGCGGACGACGGCCGTTCGTCATTGTCCAAGTTTTCTTTAGGGTAACGTTTAACCTATGGCATATTGGGTGGAACATTAAAAATCCATTCGGACCAAATACTTTAAATCAGCAGTGCTTCTAGTTCGTACTATTTTTAGATTTACGAAAAGTGCTTTCATTCACTCTTAACCGATTCACTTTATATATGGTTTAATTTAAAAAGTAAAAAATAGGATAAAACAAATGAAACAATACTATTTTTTTACATTTTATTATACCTTATAGTTTGTAAATTACACATTTATTGTCAAAGTCAACGTAACATAGTTATTTGGAACGACAAGTATTGAAAGTGCGGTATACACATACTTCACATAAGTTTATATCTCACAGTATTTCTGTAATTATATTAGTATGTGTATACCTTAACATTTTAATTTGAGGAATTATAAATTACTACCGTAGTAGGATATATTATTAAATTGATTTATTCTCTATGCTATCTTTTAATCTGTTTGGAGGGAAAGTCTATTAAAACAATTTATTTCTGAAATTTTACAAATAAATTATCAACAAGATAAAACATATATTTCATATATTTTTATACACATGAAACAAAAACAATAAATATCATACGTTTCTCGATTTTAAATTACATTCACATCAAGTCATTAAGTAACGAGAAAACAAATAAAGAGAACTAAACAATAATAATAATACATTTTCTTACAAATTCTAGGATTAAAATACATTATACGAATTTAGATTAAATTTTAAATGCAACATTTTTAACTTTTTGATTATTTTTATTTTATAACATTAGGTTATTATATAGGTTAACATATACGGCAGTTCAAAAGTATTTACACAAGAATGAAAACAGTCTCCATTGATCTATTACATTCTAGTTATAACAAGACGTTTTTATGGCGTTATTATATGAGTTAATTAGAGAGTGTTAACGTATCGTATAGTTGTTAATAATATTGCGTACACTTGTGGTGGTAAGTGTTGTAAGTAGTGGCGGGCATGCGAAGCGGCTGGACGCGCTCGGTTGCGCTGCCACGCTGCTCCTGACACCATAGGATCGTCGGAGTAACCATTCATACTGAGTTCGAGTCCTGAATAAGTATATATACATTAATATTTCTTTTCTAAATATATGGTATATTATTTTTAGAATAAAAAGTTTACATTAGACGTGGATTATTAGATGTAAATAACTTAAACCATCACACTTAGTAAACAAGTAGAGAATCATTGTTATTTTGTTATTCTTTAATGCGATCGTATGGGTCCTAACTGTCATTCCACCTGCTGGTAAGTGAGAATGAAGTAATATTTAGTCTTAATTACATTTGGGAGGAAACACAGACGCAGTCAAACTATTTCAATCCTTTGCCGTGTTCATGAGAAAGGAGCTTATCACTTCATCTGGATGCGAGGAAGGTCTATATGAAAACGATAGAGCCCCTTGCGTGTGGTTATCCAGAGACAAAAATAATTAAGCCAGAATCTTGATAAATATAATCTTGTACAATCTATGAGAGAAATTTTTTGGCTCATAGTCTTAGGTTATTGAAATCTCACTAGTGTATAATGATTAAACATTATATTAATGTTTTATCTGTTATAGTAATAAAAGAAAAAAAATATACATACGTAATTGTTTCAAAGTTATAATTTATATTTATTTGCAAATTTTTCGTCTCTTTAAAGTATAATTTTATTAGTTTATAACAATGTTGTAGTTCTTTATAAACAAAGTATTGAAGATGTAATATAAAACTCACTATGTAAGCTGACTTGACTTTCCATCTTTCCAAGTGCATTGACGGAAGCGCACACGTAAGTCCCGTAATCGCCGGGCGCCAGTGACTTTATCGTCAGATTCATCCATAAAGAATACTCATTTGTAAATTTTTCTGCTATGCGAAATTTTGGGTTCTCTAGCAATTTGTCGCTGACTAACGCTGTAAACAATGCGTTTTATCTTACGTTATACAGTACAGTCATTTAAGAATTGTGCAATAAAAAAAATGCTTTTAAGGAGTAATTCTTAAAAATATTAAGATTAGATAAAATTATTTGAACTTGTATTTATTTAGCCAAATTACTAAGATGGTATTCGATAAATCTTAATAACTTGACCGAATTGACTACTAATAGTTCAATTAGGAGGAAAGTGCTCAAGTTTTCGATCGGGAAGACGTTAATCTTGCTCAAGTAATCTATCTACCCATTGTCTGGCGGTACTCCAACTATGACTGAATATTTAATAAAGCCATTACGTACTCCATATGTTGCTGGATGACAACATCATTTATTATATATATTTTTCTTTGCTGTATGATTAATTACTGTTTCTCACTCAAGCTATGTTAAATAGAAGTTAGGATCCACTGTGGTAAAAAATTTGGTATGGTAAAAGAACTTTAAGAGAATTACATTGGCTTGGAATTAGTTGTTACGATCTTATAAACTTACCATCTTCTCGGTACCAAGAGTTCATAGCCTTAGGTGATGCTTCTATATGACATTGAAGCTCCACATCGCTACCAAGTGGTGCCCCTACTAGTTGGTTGCTAACTTTTACTTGAGGTATAACTGTAAATAATATATTTATTAATATGTAAATTTGTAAATTACGCAAAAACGAGCTTGTATGTTGTCATAGTGATTTTACTGGATTTTATATTATCACAGTCTATAAAATATTACTTAATAGCTTCGGGGGAAGAAAAATTAAATATCATATTATTACTCTTGAAGCCCAATTTTTTATGAAAGTGCCTACTCAGTGACACTCCCATTAATCAAAATTGGATCAACTGTTTATCATCCAGAACAGTTAACAATAAAAATCAGTTGTTATGTGTAAGAAATTCGAAACTTGAAAGGCAAATCTGTTAAACTTTAACTCTCTTATAGTCAGAAATTGAAATGCTCAAGTATTAATATGTATAATTAAAAGCAGACCGTAAACCAGTTTTAAATAGAAATTTTATAAATTTTTGTTCCATTTTATCAATACCATTTTGCATCCAAAATGTAGATCTAGATAAGTATTCGTTATTATTCATAGCCAGCTTTCATGAATTTGCTTAATTAATGGTAGCGTTTACGACCCAGTATAATAGATGAGCTATCTGTTTCGACTAAGTGAGGTTGGTGGACAATTTCGTACTAGAATTAAAATATCCGGTTATTTAACTGTAATGTGAAGTTATGTTTATGTACTATAACGATATTTTAAAATGACAATAACATTTACAATTAAATTCAGTTATTAGTCATGGCTTGCATGAAATTTGTTAATAGATCGAAGCATTTAACGGATGACTTACAGTGCACTTGCACGTGATATCGGCGACTGACGGTGGGCGGTACGCCGTTGCTGGCAATGCAGTAGTAGGCTCCCATGTCGGTTCTCTGTACGTGGAAAAGTTCAAGACTCTCTCCCTTATGACTTTCTACCACTGGAAGCAAATTATTTCGTTACTGACTTTTGTACAGAATGTTCGATTTAATTTGTAATTTAAACTATAGAATTGTATCACATAATAATAACTGCTAAATGTTTGATAATATTACTTAAAAACGCAGATGTTTTGTCAAATCATTAAAATTTTATTCAAAGCCTGACATTGTAAAAATACAAAAATAAAACACCTTGGAATATTTTATGTGGTAAATGGAACCTTTATTATTCAGAATCATATATAGATACAAGAGAAAACACTCGTGCTGTTTTTATTTTTATTGCAAAAAAATCGAGTTTCACCGCAACCCAATTAAGGAAAAAAATCCTCTGAACTGTGTAGATACTGGCTCTCATATAATGTACGGTAAAATAAATATCTGCTTCAGTCAGTAAAATAATTTTTTATTCTAATAATTGCGGCACAAGATTAATTTGCCGGAAAATGAAAACGTTTCTCTTAAATGACGCAATGTAACTTTGTAGAAGATCTCTTTGCGCTCTCCTAAAACCCTGTTGTTTAGTAATCAACGCTTTATTTGTTTTATATTTTTTAACTTTTGTTCATTTTTTCTAAAGACGTGAAAGCGGAAAAAATTATAATCAGTCTTTTTTTAAGTTCCCCTGTCTTAAACAATTTCATGCCGCTTTGAAATCGGTTTGCAATATAAATCTTTTATTATGCTAACACGGTTCATTAAGCTCAGCATTAAGTGAATTGTTGAACAACATTAAAAAATGAACGGGTAAAAGTATTTTTGAAACGAAAGATGGGGAAAGAAAATCTTAAAACTGCGGCAACGAGAGGTTTTGTATTGAGGATTTCTATTAATATTTTAATAGAACCGTCGAGAGGGCGCAAGATATAATTATAAAAAAGTATAGAAATCTTCGTTGGCTTTTATCTAAATATGAAAGAAGACTACCTTTCGAGGTAAAAATGCAGTCGTAATTTTTTTTCTATCAATTTTCTAATTTCGGTACTGCTTGATTTTAACTGTCATATTTGCATACGTGCATTAACTGTTGAAATTCCAGAATTCGTACATCACAGAAACCAACGTCCTAATTAGGAGATTTGAAAGGCAAAAGCAGACATCAACAAATCGTACGCTATGTTTAACGAGACGGCAATCGGACGTTATAAATTAGTCGTAGTCAAAGCGTGGGACAGGACATTAGTAGTACAGTAACTAATCGTTTAGTATAATGAAGCTGACCATTTATTACTCAAAACATTGAAACATGTTGCTTCATCAGAACGACACGACAAGGTTTCATTTTATATTAATTTATCATAATAACAGTTATGCATAATATTTTATTTCAATTTTATTTTTTTTATATCTGTGTAGATATACGTAAGTTAATAAGATATAAGACTTTCGAAAGTGAAAGTGAAAGAAATAAAAAAAATAATTTTTAAAAAGTCTTCTTTAATGCATTCTTTTCCCGATGCCCATTGACTTTATAGATAAATATTTTTATTGCCTGTTAATCTACTTAACGAATAATGATCCCGCAATATTTTGATTCTAAATCTCGCCTTAAATTTATATTTACGGGTTTATACAGACTGCTTATTGTATGAATTACTCTGTAACTGACATTTTAATTCAAAAAGGGGGCTGTTATAGCCGTCTATAAAGACGTACGTGACTGAAATAACACGATGTAAGTCTGAATGAGTACTTTTATAGAATTTCAGAAAAATTCATATAAATGCCGACGACAGTATCACTGAAGTATTTCCATCGGACTAATGTATGTGATTGTTTGAGGACGTGCTTTGTTTTATGAAATAATCGAATATAATATTTCCTTTGTCATTTTTAATAATGAAATACAGTTTGTTTGTATTCAAATATTGAAAAACTGTCTATAACATTGTATGTAATTCATCTACCAACAATTTGATATGCAAAAGCTTTGAATGTATCATATGTCATATACATAACCAATCGTCAAATATAATTAGAATGTATGTTTAAAACTCTTAATTTATTATTTTATAAAATGTAATTAGTTTTTTAAGTGTTCCATTCTTAAAAATTACAATGAAGTTCAAAAGAAAAAAAGTAATTAAAAGTCGTTTCCTCAGGCGACATTAAATGAATCAAACTGGTGAGGGAAATCCTTTAGAAACTGCGATGTTCAATCTAAGTTACCTTTCTTTAGAAGGCACAATGGACAGTTTGACATTAATTGTAATGTTGTTGTAAAAAGAATAAAACAAATCTGTTTTATTGTCTATTCAATAAAAAATGTTATACAGATTTTTGTGTGACAAAAACATAGTGCACACATGTTCTAATATTATTTTAAATTCCGCTAAAGAAAACTACACAAAAAACGTACCTATGTTACAGCAAATTGTTCTCTAAAATAAGCGCATGAAGTATAACACTATTTTCACATTTTCTGTTTCACGTCCATCATTTTGTGATCGAGGCAGAACTTTTTCGCATTTGATGCACAAAAAATAAATAGTTCTGTGGTACAGCCAAACGATGTTTTAATTATAACGTGCAAAATATAACTCTGTGTCCTTTTTCGGTAAAAAATTGTAACGACTTTTATTTTAAAAACCAAACAAAATTCTGATTTGACTGAAAAGGTTCCGTAAAAACTATAATTCCTTCAACTGATTAATATATAAAAGAAAAGTATTCAGTATTAGTCTTAAGAATAAAGTGTAATTTTTCGTTGTAAATAAGCTTAGAATTGTTACACCTGTGTTTTGTAATGTAAATTGATAAGATAATAAAGATACAACACTGGTCTGTCTTTGGATTAGAAATCTCAGAAATTTTATGGTTTTACTGGTTCAAAAGGTAAATCAAAATATTTCATAATAGTTGCAGCTCGATATTTTTACACATTTCTAAAAAATAGAAGTGACAAACAGCCACACGCGCTCAAAGGGAACAACAAAGAGATTCTATATGGCTTCGGATTTTTCCGATTAGGGTTGTATTTGAATGTAGATTTTTGTTTCAAAACGGGGAAAAATATACAAAAAGATTTTAATATTTTAGATCAAAAAGAGTAAAAAATTCGATTTTGAAATAATAATATATGTAGTAGGCCAAGTGAAAGATTTTTCAGAAAGCACGCAAAAAGTTTTTACATCAGTTCTAAAAACTTTAATATAAATCCTGATTTGGTTACAATCAAATCACAAGTATAAAGTAAAAATTTAATTTCCTAATAAAATGTACTTTATTCGATAAAATATTCTATTCACCGTTCCTGTGACTATAAAAAATCCAAAAGAGACCTCACGCATAAAATAAATTATAGTGGAAATTCGAGCGTCGGTCGAAGTATACGGGATCTTATCACGAGCCGGCATCGCGGTTATGACATTATTAAACTGGAACGTATCCACTGACGCTAAAAAATACGTGAGCGTTTTACAAGATTTTTCGCCGTTGAATAACAACCACCCACAAATTTAAGACCCCCCCACTGACAGGATCGTATAAATTATGCTAATGAACGGTTTGGAAGCGCATCTGATTCGAGCGATAGCGAAGCGCTTTTTCAGTAATTTACATACCTAATAACCGACAATATTCTATGAATGCATTGTTATTTTAGAATAACATTTCAACAGTAAATGCTTCGGAATAAACAATACAAGTTACAACTTGTACTTTGCGAGTTGTATTCTAGTTTTATGCATAAAAGCGTTATTCATTATAACTTAAAAGGTAAATTAAAATGACAAATAAACTACATTAAAATATCAAGTTTGTTCTTTAATGAAACACAGAAGTGGAAACATTACATTTTCAGTAAATTTAATATCGTGTTTATTATTCTGACTACACGAGTGTACCTATGTATATGAAAAATGAATATTTTTTACGCATATGTATGTACATACATTGTCAACATGTATTTTTATTGTCACTTAAAGGTATGAGAATGTTTTCGTAAATCATACAAAGAGTGTATGGGACAAGCTTTTAAAAAATAATCGAAACTAGATTCTTCTTAGGCTGAATTATGTAAGACGGGGGAAGACATCAAAACCAATTTCATATAAAAATATATTTTTTTAAAATACATATATAATAAGTGGTATTTTCAAAAAATATTTTTGAAACACTTTTATTTTATTTGAAAATAGATATGATCAGTAATATAAAAAATTCAATAAGTTCTTAAACGTGTTTGTGTTAACACATTAAGTGTAAGTTATAACACAACAAATTTAATTTCATAAAGTATGATTATAGGCGAGGATTCATAATACATTATTAAATTCCTGTCATGTCAATTGTATACAGGTTTAGTAAAATGTGTTGTATTGTATGTCATATAAGATGTCCAATTTACCCCTGTCAGACATTTGAGAAATTTGGGAAAACGTTTCTTATTTAGAATGTTTAATTTAAATATTTGTTTAGGATATGCCGATAACTCTATAGAAAATTAAATTATATCGAATATTTTGCAAAGAAAAGTCATAATGAAATAAAGTTTCAACTGTTAACTTTATACTCAATCTACGAGAAAAGACATAAAATTTATCGTCAGCTTTAAGCGGATATTTTAGTTATTTCATAAACTTCATATTACTTTCTTCGTCAGCATTTAGTTTAAGGGTTTCATTAAGCGATTTGTCAACTTTGATCTTAAAATTTAAAAGTATTATTAATCAGTGTACTCATTGATGAAAATTAAACCCTTTTTTGTATGCTGATTCTTCTTCAATTATTAAATATTTTTTGTATATTCCTATCGCAAAAAAAATCTTTAAGCTTCGTCTGATCTTAAAATAATTCAGACGAAACTTTCTTTTTCTTCTTTCAAAGGTACATAATTAATAAAACTAAAATATTTTGAAATTAGGTTTTATCAGTTTTGTAAGCCATTAAAAATAGTACAAAATAATTATTTCCTTTCATTTTAAATTCTAACAAACAAACGAAAATAATTCAGTCGAATTTTACATAAAAATGTTTATTTTAATCTTTACCTAATTAT